GGAGGGAAACCCCCAGCCGTGCTACTATAGTCTCAGACTCACACAGCACGTTAAAAGGAATAATAATAATAATAATAATAACTGCGGAGAGACTGGTCATAATACGCGCACCTGTAATATTATAGAGGAAGTATCTGAGGAAGAAATTTCTGAATAGTGTTTTTTAATTAGAGGCGTTGTGGTAGAGTTCTTACAATTTCAATCGCGAGTGTAGAAAGTTTTGGCCGGTTCGCTTGTTTGGCCGGTTCGCTATACATGCACGTTATTATATAACGGTTACATAACCGTTCTATAAATCCCGGGCTCTCCTATAAGGTATTTCGAAATAAAGTTATAACTTTTACTTAGCGCCTAAATAAAACTACTAAGCTCTACTCGATATAGAACGAAATAAATATTAGCGAATCGAGTATAGAATTACTAAACCTTTAAAGCTTATTTAGCTTAATAAATTCAAGGATCTATACTATAGTACTATTATAAACGGGATTAGTAGCTATTTAATTTAATAAAATCTCGGTCTTTTCCTATTATTATACCTCTTCTAAATCTTTAGAGTTTTAGGTTATAACCTAACTATTAGGGATGATTTATTTTTTATTTTTTAGCTATTATAGCTAACTATTAAGAACGTATATAACCTTATTTTTATAAATTTTAGTTTATAAATTATAAAATCCCTACTTATTATACTTATATAGGCTCTCTAGAAATTGGAGCTAAGAAATTATTCGTATATTCTTTTTAAACTTTCTATAATATTTAGCGAATTTTCCGGAATTATTAGATAGCTTAATTATATAAGTAATATACTAAGGTACTAATATTACTTATTTAAACTATAAAAACCACCGAGCTTATTACTAAAGTTGCTTATTGTATTATTTAGGTTAAACCTTTTTATTGTGACGGAGCTGGATTTCATTTGACAGGATTTCATTCGCTTGGCCAAGCACGTGACGAGACTTGGCATTGGAACAACTTAAATAACTTCGCTCCTTTCAGATTCTCTTCTCTCTTTAGTTTGATTTCTTCGTACCTACGGTTTTAGTTCTAGCAATTGATTCAAAAGCTGTTTACACTTTATCCTTTGTTGGCATCCGTTGTAACGAATACTCAAACTGGCTAACTAAACTTGGCTGGGTGTTCGCTGGTTGGTATGCTATGATAAGAAGAAGACTATCGGGTTGTTCACTTGGAAGTGAACTCGTTACTTGTATCAAAGATGTCAAACTAATATGATAAGATTGATAACTAAGTTGAGCACGAAGCTCCTATCTAATGGCAGACGTGCCAGTCTTATATAGAACCTTCATACCCCGCGTATGGTCCGAGTATAGAGTAGTATAAGCCTTCCTTATACTTCCTTATACTCCGGTAGTATAGAGTAGTATAAGCCTCCCTTATACTTCCTCATACTCCCTAGTCACATGATCTTATGTAAGGAAGAAATCCTTGGATCGCCTAGCTACCCTAAGCGATCCCCATTTGCTATAAGAAATCTGAATGTGCCTGTCGAGGGTTGCGTCTCTTATTATGACAAGTATCACGTGAACACGTGATTCGTGACATCCGTGACATTTATATTTCTAGACTTTATTAGTTTAATAGCTTTAAAATAATAAGAATTTTCTTTAACTTATAATAATTATTCTTATAAGTTATAGAAAGTTAAAACTAATAAAGAGACTTTATGTTAAGTATGGTAATTTCTAACTACGCTTTAGAACTAATTAATATCAGATTCGTACTTAGAGTAGAGTTGCTTTTTTTGTATTTACGAGCTTAAAAACTTGATATCTTCTAATCTTCTGAATTCCAACGATGTCTTACAGCTTCTCCAATGAGCTGATGTTTCTCCATATAATACTATTTCTGTATCTGAGCACCTTATGGCATCCCTGTACTTAGGCATTTTTCAATCAAACAAACTGTTTCAATCAGTGACTCTCCGTGCCGCAAGCCAGTACATCGCAACGCAGCATTTGCATGAAAACTAATATTTATTACCAAGTATCCCACGGTATTCTATCAATTTGTAATTCTCCGTAACTATACTGCTGCCACTGTGGACTTCCTCCATCTCCCAGAACAAATGTAGAGTAAAGGAGGCAGTGGTATCAATGGTTACCGATATCAACTCAAAAGTTCGGCCAAAACGGCACTGCAAATTCCATATTCCAGCTGAGAAGAAAGGCCAATCGTGAGTCAATTATTTTGTCTTAGTTTATATGGGAATTTGGGTCCAAGTCATGACAAACAAGTTATATTGTATTCGAACTATCCGTCTTGTGATGGTGTGTTTTCCAACCCAGTATCTACTTGCATGCAGTCCTGCACGATTTAGTACAAAAGTCCTTGACTGTCTTGTCACTAGAGCCCTGTCCAGTATACGCCTCGACACATGCACTGCAACACTATTTATCACATTAGCCTGTATCCTTGTCTTGAACATAATTTTTCAGATTAAAGTACGTACGTCTGCTGCAACCGAGGTAGCGAAGAGGGCAACAACAAATGACAGTAATGAAAGCTTCATTTTCGCTGGTTGAAAATATATAAGGACTGCGACTGTGAGAAAAATATCGAGTATTGAGAGGGGTATGGCATACCTTGATGGTTTGGAGGATGAAAATGGGAACGTAATAGTCGATGTTGGATCTGTAGTCAAGATAAGGATATGCAAGAGCTTTTATGTACCTAGATACGAGTACTCTACATAATTGCGAGGTACAAGCATCTCGCTTTCTGCGGGGAAGGGATTTAGATTTAACTCTGAAACTCGATGACAACTGGCATGGAGTACCGGTACCCACAAGTAAACATTCGTATGCAAGTTTTGTGTATTATAGAACGTGCGATTTGATATACTAGTATAATAAAGATTTCCCATCTATGGTACGTAAGTTATGTAGAGTTAATACATACCGCATTGCCACTTCTACGATTTCCCGTTCCAGTTTTCTTTTTGTAAACTAAGCCGTTTCCCTTTCATGTATAAATTATCTCGCGATAGCCATCTCAAAAGCTCCATGATACAAATCGGGCTTGGCTCTGGATGTCTGTATACCATTTTATGCCTTTTTATAGTTATAAGGAGGAAATGTGCTAGGATAAATACTAATGCTATTCAAGAATAGATATGAAATGTGGGAATCCGATTTCACGTGATCTCATGCGAGTCGAACAAAATTCGGTCATTGGTTCATCCTGAAACTTGCCATGGAAAACACCAGATGCCGAAGTCTGAAGTCATGGTTGCTCGGCTCCCACTGATGTAGGCAGGAAAGTGGCGACTCGGGTTCGCTTCGCGAGTTTGCTAACCCTCAGAGCTTGACGTAAACAAGATATGCACCCCTTGCACAGGCGAGAAAGTATGGTGATTCATTGAGATATTTTTCCGTCTGTGGTTTGTATCCGTTGTTATAATCAAGGGATGCTGAGAAACGTTGTTGTCTCCTGGTCTTTGTGATAGAGAGGCGGGCGTTACTCTGTATACACCTGAGCTATGTAATATTATCCAAAAGACCTCACACAACTATATCAATTATACGAACAGTTTAGAACTATTGTTACTTTTTAATTCTTATTGTGCTAGGTGAAATGGGACAATTAAGTTACTTGTACCGGACTTTTGGCATAATGAGTTTTGATAGTATGTACAGAGCAATGCTCGCCTCTCTTATAATACTTGTAGACCAAACTTTACACAACAAAGGCTGTGCACCTACCTCCTTGACAGTCAGCCATGGCAGCGAGGGCAGCTGAAAATAATAAACAAATTATCGCCAACAGTTCAGTCGTGACCCAGAGTTTCGAATATTTGGGGGCGTAGCGATGGGAAAAGAGCGGGATTTCATTGGATTCCCGAGTAAACAGCTGCCAGTGCCGGTCATAGCAGTACCACCAGTGCATAGCTACCCCGCTAATTACGCTTAAGGTTGGTAGACGACCAAGATTTAGCGATGTAAAACATCTATAATCGGCGCTACTGTATACGAATGCATAAAAACTGACAACCAGCAGTGGCACAACATGGCGGCTTTTACCCAGAAGAAATCTGTCGAAAAAGGCAATAGGTGGATCGTTCCAGTCACTCGGTTACATCATGGGGAGCCCATGTCGCTGCGCCGTACACTTGCATTACCCCGGAACTTTTGGACCTCGGGTGGAGTCAACCCAATGCGCTTGACGACAACGATGGTGGTAACGGGTGGGAGGTCTCAGCTGTCTAGAAAGCATGCAGGTGAATACTACATTCTTTGCATAATTACGATTGTGACAAAATACGTATACAAGATGACTTATCTTTTACAATCGCAAAATTCAAAAGCGGTTCCCAAACTTGAGGCTCTGGAAAGATCTCTAATTCGAATCTATCTTCAAGCTATACAATTCTCTCTCGACCCTCCTCAGAAACATCTAAAGTCACAATACTCAGATCCTTACTTGGCCTAGTCGTTTCCACCTTCCCAAATTGTATCTCACTAGATGTCTGGCGGTTCGAAATCGGAGGAAGACTGATATCATGGTAACAATCATCCTCGGTTCTACTCCTACTGGACCGAGTGAGTCGCGAGCGCATCAGTGACGCCCAGCTGGATTCAAACGGACGAGTGATTTCGAGAGCCATTTCCTGCCTTTCGCATCGATGAGTTTCGGGAGTGGGAGGAAAGAGATAACAGAGATTCCGAGTCTGACTTCGGCGGCGACGAATAATCCCAACCAAGCCATGTTGTAGCTAGCATCGGCCGTGTCTCCAGACATGCGAATGAGGTAAATTGTCATGAAGGCGTTGGTGATACAGGCTCCAAACCCTCTTAGCCATTATCTTTTCTCTTCGAACGAGAGGAAGACCCACAGCAGCCCAGTACCAAATAAAAGCACAATCCCCACTCGCTTCTTCTTTGGCATTCTCAACTTCCATACGCCCCTCACTGGCAAGACCAAGATCATGATATCACTCAAGATGTTCCAAAGACAAGTTGCCAAGATCATGGTGTTATTGTGTAAATACTTCCCCGGAACAAGATCATTCCAGATCTTTTCCCGAGAGCAAGTCCAAATCTATACCGACATACTGATAATGTAATAGACAAGGTTGACTCCAATCAACGTCGTAGAGGCGTACCAGAACAACGGGTTTATTGCACGATTGGGCGCGAAGATGGCGAGGTACTGGAGGAGAATGGCGAGTTTGATGCAGAAGATTGTTGAGCAGTATATGATATTCTGGACTTGCATCCACTGTACAGGGGGTTCGGTTACCAAAGTCTAATCAAGTGAGAAGGAACGGTAGAATGATACGCGCGTAGAGCAAGGTATTCAGATCCTTACGCTACAAATTCCATTGATGGACACCTGCACCCGCTTTGAAAACGAATTTTCCAACCACTACCATACCCATAAAACCAATCTATCAACCATTGCGTCAGAATGGCTTCAATTTGTACAACAACAATGATTCACATACGAAGCCAAGGATAGATGCATCTGTAACATTGTTAGCACAAATAAAGGAAAAAAGAAATGTATGCCTAACAATCCATGAGATCTGTTTTTCTAATGATACGTAGCCTTGTATAGAGCCGCAAAAAGAACAAAGTACCCGGTATGACGGTGCAGCAGACCGCAGCGACGATATACCATACCTGTTCATCTGAATGCGTCGTGAAATGGGGTGTCACACCGGGCGGGGGATCCAAAGCTGCTGCATTGAGAAGCTCCGCCATCGACAATGGAGCGTATCCATTGCTGCTTGTTGTTGTAGACATCTCAAAAGCTGCAAAATGCTTGTGCGACCAACCGTTGAGATGGCTTTAGAAAAGACTTCCGAGTCGTGTCGTTGACGAATGTCCCATGAACCCTTATTAATTACAACATGATGAAAATGGCAGGTTTCTCTTAGCGCTGACATGCAACATCCAGATTTTGCTTGTACCATTCAGCTCTAGTTACAGTAATCAATATGCATGCAATGCATGTCAGCATGTTGATCCTATCGACAGCGCATAAATGGTAAGTGGTGGAGTACAGAGTGGTACAGTTCCTTTCGTGTTACATTACACAACCACTAGTATACACGTTGCAGTATATATTAAAAGATGAGGCTGTATTGCTTGGCGTTATTGTGATATTCTGCATCAAGTAGAATCCAGATGCCGAATCATAAATATCGACATGGCTCACGGAAAAGTAATAGTCAAAGAGTAAGTTTTGGCCTCGTCAAACTCTTGGCAATTTCATAATACAATGCTTGAAGAAACTGCATCCTCAAAAGACTGGAGCTTGATTTTGAGGATCATTTCGGGGAATCCGACCGCATGATCAGCTCTTTATAAAAAGTATCCGGTGTTTGTATTACTCGTAAATGGTTCAGGACTACATCAACGTCTCATTGATTCTTGCGCATTCGCGAAAGAATATTTGCTCCTTTCTGGTTCGGAATCAATGTTTCTTCAAGTCTCAGAGTTCCATTCTCATCTCTTATTATTCTCTGATGGGCACTTTAGTGGTGCCTATAATATGTTTAGCCTCAAGATTACAAACGAAGGAATCAAAGTACCTAGTCCCCATCGACGGAAGTTTCCATATATGGTCTCGTAAGAGCCTTTAGGTGCATGTTAAGTTTCATGCATGACACCGACATACGGATATTCACCTTTCTCGTAATTGTTTTAACTAAGACGATGAGCTGCCGATGCGGCGAACTCGTGGAGACCCTGAAGATCGTTCCAGTATGTAATCCACACTGTTGTTGTTCCTTCATTGTCAGAGGTATCGGCCAAGGTTGCTGTTCTTCCAAGATCTGGTAAATATTAGAAGAAGAGCACTAGTTTGAAGGTGAATAGGTTTAGATGAGAACACATCTATATGAATGACAAGTGGAAGACTTACAGCCCCATTTCTCGCGATTCTTTTCAGCTTCCCGCCACATATCTTTGAATACTATATCCAATGGTGTGGTTCCAGGAGAAAGCTTTCCGAAAGGACTATTTTTTGTGTTAGCTGGAGCATTTCGGAGTCTATACCGGTCATGTCACCAACTGATTGAGCCTGGCCCCAAGAACGAATACAACTACACCATTCGGCGAGTTGGGCAACTTTGTTGAGTGCTTTCCTAAAACAACATCTGTGAAAAATGTTTTGAATACATCGCGTGAGCCGATACCAGACCTCACAAGGCGATATCCAGGCCACAACAAAGGAAGAGCGGCGCTGAGTCGGGGCGGCAAGTACGCATAGCTCAAAAGTTGAAGAGCAGCACCGAACGCGAGAAATGTAGGAATGGAGAAGTCACTCTTCTCAAGAATATCGTAGAATTGTTCATAGATTTCAATGGCCTCCCTCTGGATAGTTCGGAAAGCCATTTTGTGGTGGTCTGACAGATCTGCGGGATTGTTGTTGGTTCAGACGTCACAAATGGACGGATGGAGAAGGCGGGAAAGCGTTGGAAGGTCACGTGAAATATTTTTATGGTAACACAACTTAAGCTTACTATAATATAGTAGGGATTATCGGACAATATCTTTTGGGTTCATGCATTTACAGTGATTGTTGTAATTAATTCCTAGGAACCCAAACTCAGCCCCCATCTGCTCATAAATGATCCGGATTCGACAATGTAACCGGATCATACCCCTGAGGTTCAGTCGGTGTTGGTGGCGTGCGGTGCACTAGTTTGAACCCCCTGTATGAGCAGATCTTACTCTGTTTTCTTGGGCGTCAATAATCTGACATCTAAATACGAGCTGTGTCAACACTAAAGCTTAAGAAAGTAAAAAAAGAGAATTCTAATAATTTTCCGTCCTTGTTGTGGAGTCTTTCAGAGGCGAAGTTCGGTAGTCGCTTCCCCCCAACAATTCCAAACACTCACAACTGGATCCAACGAGTCTATGGCTGAGAACGCAGAAAACCAGCAGCAGGATTTGATTGTTCCAGGTCTGTTGGATGAGGGAGGAAATGAAGTCGAAGTTCCAAAGAAGAAGCCTCTGGCCAGTGTAGGGAATATGATTAGTGCGTTGCGTAGTATACTGCACTAATATACTATATATTGTACTGCGAGCGATTTCGTATAGTTTTAAAAGTAATATCTAAACTAACTAGTTAGTATAGTTTTAAGATCTAAAACTATTATTTTATATTATACTACGTAAAAAGTATAACTTATATATTAATTAAAATTTATATAACTTATATATACTTCTTTTAGGTAGGTTTTAGGTAGGTTTTATGGTAGGTTTTCCGGATATCGGAAAGTCTAACTACTAGCCTAGCTGTTTTAGGCTAAATATTATAATTTCTTGTAATCTAATTAGCCTTTTGTTACGAATCACGTGCTAGCACGTGAGGAGCTAGTCCAGACGGGGTTCTGACAGGACAAACACATCATGGCTCTTATTGTGACGGTTATGGTCACGAGGGCTGGATGTCACATGCTCGCTTAGCGAGGCGCTAGCGCGCACGACCTGTATTTAGTTCCCAGCTCACTAGAGCTCTCCTTCTTTCCTCGTCTTTTGTCCTAAGAATAGAGTGTTAATTGTTCTGAGTTCTACCTGAAGCACGTCTGTCACACTTATAGCAAAAAGGGATCGCTTAGGTTAGTTAAGCGATCCAGGGATTTCTTTGTATATAAGTCACGTGATATATGCAGGTCGACTTC